ACACATGTTGTTTAATTACCATGTATTTGTAAAGTTTCTGAGGTTTTTTTTTTTTTTTTTTTTTTTTTTTTTTTTTTTTTTTTTTTTTTTTTTAGTTTTATAGCATTTTGCTCAGAAAAGATACTTGATATAATTCCTATTGCCTTACATTTGTTAAGACTTGTTTTATGGCCTAACATGTGATTTTTTTTTTCCTTTCTCTATGGAAATTTAAGATTATATGTTATATCATTTTCCTTCTCCTAGAGAACATATTTTAACACCTTGTAGTGCAAGTCTACTAAGATGGATTCCCTCAGTTTTTGTTTATCTGAGAAAGTTATTTCTTTTTCACTTTGGGAAGATAATTTTACTGGATACAGAAGTTTAGGTTGGTGACTTTTTTTTAACACTTCAAATATTTAACCTTACTTTCTTCTTGCTTGCATGATTTCTTATGAGATTTTGCTATAGTTCTTATGCTTGTTCCTTTATAGGAAAGGTTTTCTTACCCTTTTAGCTTCTTACCAGATTTTCTCTTTTGTGAAACTTATTTACCTAGAGATATTAACGTTTATATAATTATTACTAAAACTCCTGAATATCATGACAATTTTTTCTCATGTACCTTGCATCAACTTCGTTTTTACCCCATCTTATAAATATTCAAAGAAACACTGAGATAGTAAGTAATTTGCCAGTCTCATTTCAGATCCAGCGCTCTTTATTTCAATGTTATTTTATATTGGCTCATGCCAGTGGCATCATATTTCCACAGAAATGTTCTAGTAATGGCAGATGTTGAGTGATCAATCTCATCATTTAATGATGAGTTTCATCAAATCAAGTTCTTGCCTTTCACTATATTGACTTCTTATTTCCTGGGTTCCATCTATGAGTTCCCCTTGGGTCCTCCTCCTTGCAGCAAGTAAGATATCAATGCCAAGCAGTATGTACTTACCATCAACAATGTCTTACTTATTACATAGGTTGCATGTCTAAAAACAAAAAGAATATTAATTTCCCCTTTTCATATATAGCAAAATTCTGATTATACCTTCTACTCTCTATTAACAGATGTAATATTGCTTCAATTACAAGAACAGTTAATTTCCCATTTAAAGAATATCCAGGTATAATTTACCTGATAACAAGAAGAGGCACAAAAGAACTTACACAATAGGAATATTATTTGCTAAGTATACCTACCATTAATGGCCCAATAACCTTACTGTCTGATTAGTGAATGAAAAAAATGCCATATAACTTCAAAAAGTTTTCCAAAGAGATTCATCAATAATGTGTAACTTTCATTTGTCTTAAATTTTCCCATGGTTAATGTCAAATTCATAGTTGTAACATTTGTTTTTACATACCTTTTGACAGGGAGGCCACATGAGTTCGTCCTCCATGCTGGAATCTTGAGTTCTGATCTAGAATAATACATGTGCTCCCTTCCCAGAGGTTTCCAGGCTTCAGAGAGCTTCTTCATTTATCTGTGGAAATGATGTCTTTCTTCTTATAAAAGACAGGCATTTGTTCTTTTCTATTTAATAACTTCATCTGATTATCATGGTAACACTTGTTATGTATCTTGTTTAATAGTTACTCCATTGAAGTCCACACTAATGCTAGAAATTTGGACTCTTAATTAGTGCTGTCTCACAGACAAATTTAGAAAGGAGCAAAGAAGCTTGTAATGTGCTCCTTCTCCCCACCCCTCACACGCCAATATTGCATATAATTTTTTCATTTAGCTAAATTAGATAGAGTTTTGATTTTCTTTAATGATGCATGTATTAGCAATGTAACAAAACATTTTACAGCTATTTTTGAGAGCTCAAAATATATGAACAAAAAGAGAAAAATAAGACTAACAAAAAAACTTTACCACCTACATCCCCACTGCTTCATTTGGTATATTTTAAGTCTGAGTGCTTTTTTCTAATTCTAATGCAGAGGATAAAAAAGGAGTTAGAGCTCAGAATTCTAAAATGTGAAATATTTCTTTAAATGTTTAATAGGATATCAGGTTTTCAGTATCATAATATATTCATCAAAGACAAATGATAAACACAACTAACTGTGTAGATTAGTTCATTGAAAGAAATCACAGACTTTAAATTCTCACATATGGAAGAAAACTTTATAGGGGTAGAATGGAGAGGGAAATCATTTATAAAAAATATTACAGATTAACTATTTATACTTAATAATCAGTCTTTAAAAATGACCAACCAATTCCTTCTTTATATAAAACACATATCAGATCAACAGGAGTGTTTATTTCCCCTCCTTTGAATCTGGGCTGGCAACTGAATGTAGCAGAAAGGAGGCCTTAAGAGACCTTTAGCTTCTACTTCTTTCCCTTGAAAAGTTAACTCTTTGGTTACTCCCTCTCAGAAACCAGCCACATGGAGAGGTCATGTGGAGGAAAACTTAGGAGACCTGCTTACTAGCATTTCTCAACCAACAGCTTACATCAGTTGCCAGTTATGAGAGGCAGCCATCTTGGATGTTGTAGACCACCCATGGTCTCAGATAACTATAGCCCTAGCTGACATCACAGGAAGCAGAAAAACCATCAAGCTGAGCCCAAACAACTCAGAGATGGCAAGGAAATATTAAAATACCATTTTGGGATTAGGTTGTTATGCAGAAACAGATAACTAAACTATATATGTAGGAAATAGTTGATCCATATGTGAAACTGATAGACCAAAGTCCAGTATAAAAATAAACTGTTAGACTGAGGAGGAAAAAGGAAATTTAAGATAAATAACTGACTAAAATATTTTTGCTAGTTAAAATATTAGACATCTTTTACTTTATATATTTGAGTGAAGAGGAAAACATTTTACAAGGTGATTTATTTATTTATTTGAGACAGAGTCCTGATCTGTTGCCTAGGCTGAAGTGCAGTGGAATGATCTCAGCTCACTGCAAACTCTACCTCCTGGGTTCAAGCAATTCTCCTACCTCAGCCTCCTGAATAGCTGGGATTACAGGCGCGCGCCACCAGGCCCAGCTAATTTTTGTGTTTTTAGTAGAGATGGGGTTTCACCATGTTGGCCAGGCTGGTCTTGAACTCCTGCCCTCAAGTAATCTGCCTGCCTTGGCTTCCTGAAGTGCTGCAATTACAGGTATGACCCACCACGCTTGGCCACAAGATAATTTTTTATATAAAATTTTATACTTTTATGGGAAGAGAAAGTATGGCCTTTATCAGATATACCTGTGTAATTTGTTCTAATTCTCTTGGCGTGAGATTCAAAGCAAACTGGAAAATGTTTTTTTTTCCTAAGAGCCCAAGAGTTTGACCATAATACAAAAAAAAAATACATATTTTTAAAAATCCATAAATATATATTCTGAAACCAAAGCTTTACCAAACCTCTTAAAATTTCAAATGAAGTAATTCTCAATGCCTTTAAATCATTTCCAGTAATTGACCACCAACTATGTGTTAAGCATTTTGTCTGAAGATACGAAGACTACACAGCCTCTGCTCTGGAGAGGCCATGAGACATGGAACAAGATTGAAATGTAAGGAGAAAGGAGTCAATAAGGAAGCAGCATTTTCTAAGTGCCCACTATATGCAAGAATGATTCTAAATTCCTTTGATTTTATTATCCTTTTAAAATTCACATATTGAAGAGTAGTTTTATTCCTATTTTTAGGTAAAAAGTTATAAACAGAGAGATTCTGTAACTAGTTTAAGACAAGCTGGTAAAATAAAATAGCTGATATTTAGAAATCTATTCTTTTTTAGCTCCCAATCTATAAACCCAATACAATGCATTGAATGTGTTGACATCAAAGTTTATGAGGACAAGGGCAAAGCTCTCCTGGAAGGAGGAAGCTCTGTATACATGAGATCCAATGAGAGGTTCCCCTCGTGACTGCATTCTCATTCTCTGTTGCTCTCAGCTGGTGTCCTTATTCTGCAGTGGGACTGAATGGGTAAGAGCTTTTAGGGTCAGACCAATTTGCGTTATAACTCTGGTAAATGTGGTAAATGCCTGACTTTGGACAACTTTTTTACTCTATAAGAGACTTTTCTTTTCTGTCTACAAAATAGGAATAATGACATGTACCTCACAGAGCTATTATAAGGATTACACAATGAGATACTGTGTTATATACTTAGTACAGTGCCTTGTGTAAATACCTTCTTAGCAATTTATTATGGGAGTTCATCAAATGAATTTTTTAATATTACTACTCTTAATTGTCATTGATTGATCTGGGTCAGTTGGTCTGAATGGGATTTTTCCCCAGGCATACAATTTTTGCAGATATCTCTTTATTTACTAAAATAAGAAGATTCTGGGAATAAATTTTGTGACCTGACCATTAATTATGACCCTTTCATTTTAGACCATATTGCCAGGAATGAAGTATTACATGTCCTTTGGAGACCCTAGTCCCACAGTTTATGACATGGCTCTGTGCTTTCAGAGAGAGGGAATCATTCAGGGATAGGATAAATCTCTTGCCTTATCTCATGGAGCAATTTCTCCTCGGCCTTCTCCTTTGGTAGTCAGCTTCTACCTGTAGCTCAGTGAAGCAAGCAGCGTGGACTCTATCTGCTGATATGAAAACCAATTTCTAAATGTGTATTCTTCATAACATTCAAATATAGAGAATATTTGATCAATAATGTATAGGAACACCTACTGGCTCATACTTTCAGTCAGTCCCTGAACCTGAACAGAAATAGTTAATTTTCAGAGACTGTAGGTTGAAAATGTGTGTGTGTGTGTGTGTGTGTGTGTGTGTGTGTGTGCGCGCGCGCGCTTACTTCTACTCCAATGTTGGCCTCATCTCAACCAAAGCTGGATCTTAAAAATCTAGGATATTTAAGGTCTGAGGGTCTGTCCTCAATTCTCCTCAGGCAACAGGACAAGGAGGGAGGTCAAAGCTCAGAATCCTGACTCCAGATAACAAGGGCAGCACAGGAAAAATAGGAGAGAAGGCATGAATTCATTATAGAATAACAGCCTGAGCAGGCACTTACCAAGTGAATTGGGAAGGAAATTTCTGAGAAGGCCTTAAGAATGTGGAGGAAAAGGAGCAGTTAATCTGAAATACAAAATTGAAAGGCATGACAGATGCATGATTCTAGTCTTCCAGATAAGATTCCTTCTGGAATTCAAAAGCATCTAAAAGAAGCAAGACAATTGGCTGCTGGGTTCGATATGTAAACACAGTGCTGGTTGACACAGTGAAGATGTTTATTACAAAAGTTAATGCAATGTCAGGGCGGAAGATCAATGTTTAACCCGATTTTGTTGCAATCTGTTGGCTTGCCTTGGAATACAGAATGGAAAATTAGCAAAGCACAGCAAGGAATATGCAAGGGACTTTTTTTAATAAGCAAACTGTCAAATCACGGACACTGACATTTGTGATAATAAAAACAAGTCAATATTTACTTGTATTTGTTGTTAATACATGCCTCTTACATTGTATATTCACATTTTTTTATTAATTTGAGTAATACATTATAATTTTTATTTGCTTCAATATCCAGATAGTCACAGATTATTAGAGATTCTCCATGTTCATTTAATCTACTATGTATAGATTAAATCCTAAAGAACAAAGTTGAAGTTCAACTTTGTTCTTTAGGATTTAATGAACAAAGCTTTCATTTCACAGGAAGGAAAAGACGAGCATGAGACCCCTAGGAAGAACGTTGTCTATGCTGTGAATCTGGTATTTTAATACTAACTGATGAGCCTGTGCTTGATATACTCAGCATTCTCACTACAAAAATATATTTAGCATTCTGTGATGTAAAATATTCTGCAAGCATCTAATACTCATTACACTGTAGAAAAAATAAAGATCATTCTTTATGGTATAGAAATAAAAAATAAATACTTGGGGCTGGACAGAGAAATGAGTTGAAAAAGCTTTTGATGCCTTCACATGACCTCTAGCTTCCTTATAATTTGGTAATATCTACAGAAATGATTGCAATCTTCTTCTACAATTATTATTAAAGGCAATTTTTTCTGTTTGTATTTAGGAAGTTATCACTTGAAAAACAAAAAGAAATTATCACTTGGAAAACAAACTAAAAAATGACTTTTTCCCATTGTATTACACTTCAGAAAAAGCAACACTCTGAAAAATAATGCTATATATTTTCTGGGAGTGAGGAAGCCTGTTAAAAGATGCTGGGGAGAGTGAAGCGTGAGTTTCTGTACAGCAGCAAAAGAGTGACCTCACAAAGGCTCTCACTGCTATGTGGCTGTGGAGCTCGCTCCTGTCAAAGGCATGATTAGTACAACCCCCCAGTGCAGCTGTCCATTGAGGGTGACCAATATAAAACGAAGGAGTCAGTGGTTAATTACTTTGTCAGCATTAAATATAACAATGGGCCGTGGTGGCAGCCCAATCCCGTGATGCATGCAGGCAGCCATCTGTACATCTTCCCCATCTACTTGGTACTTGTTGCTGCAGAATTGGTTTGGACAAGTGGCTTACAGTCACATAACAGACAAGAACTGTCTCCCCTTCTCTGGGAGGCTGTCTACATTAAGTGTTGCTGTTTCAGAGGAATAAACTTTGGGTAAAAATTGGGGACTCAGCAACAGCCCTGGCCCTAATGATAAATAAGGAGATTATTCATGCAAACTTGTTTTTATTCATTCACTAACATTTCTTGAGAGACTTCTGTTTGTCAGGAATATACCATAGGAGTACGAAAAGAGAACTGAGTCTGTTTATATAGCAGAAATTGATATACAAAAACATAACAACCCTAGTAATTTCCTGTGTATTTTATGGCCAGTGAACTGGATAGTTCTAACTTAAACAAGTCCACTGTTATAATCCACATGGATAATTAAAGTTGATGAGTTGACTGGTTCTTCCCTGTTATTTTTTTTCTTTTTGGTCTATTTATCCAACCCTTTTTGCCACTTTTTCTTTTTTGAACTCTTTGACTAATTTTTGAAGGTAGCTATTTAAAAATAAAAGGTAGCACAGAAAAGCTGTATCTAATACTTGTCTACTTAAAAACAATGGAAACTGTTACTTTATGTTATTAACACTTGATTTATTATTCCTTTAGCCAAAGATGGTGAATTGCTGGTTTGATAACCATATTTTAATTTTAGTTAGATTTTGTCAAACTCCAGAGGGATATCATTCCAGTCCTGTTCCTCAGTATTAATGAATACTTTAGAATCAGGTAGATCTTTCTTCTCCTCATGCCCAGGGGGGAATATTTATAATTTAGGATGAAAACAAAAGTGCTATCAAGACACATTACTCTACAGTTCTTCTATTCCTTCTTTCCTTTGTATTGTCCACCTTTTAATCAATTTCTCCATTTTTACCTTTTTTTCCCATTATTAACCCTATCTAGACTTGTTATCTCTAATTTCTATCCAGAAATATAAAGCACAAATATTTTAAATAAATGATCATTTAAATTTCTTGTTTTTAATTTTCAAAAGTAGATAAGATAAAAATTCTATATTTGTTTCTTGCTAAGGGGTTTTTAGTGAATCAGAGCTTTTTCTAAAATGAGCAACAAAGAGAACAAGAAGGAGGAAAAGAATAGAAATTCACCTTACTCTGTTCATTCCATTTTGCCTCAAATAGATCTTATGATGAGTTGGTGTTTTTAAATAGCGTATTACTCTGATGAGTGGAAGAGAACACACTGACATGTTATTTCAAACAAAATATAGATTTAGATGGAAAATGAGTTTTGATGTTATAGTCATTCTCTTGCTCTTTTAACATTCTCTTCTGAAAAGCAAAAAAACTAAAAGTAATGCTTTTCTTTCTTTCCTTCTCTCTCTGCTTTTCCCCTTATTCCCTTTTTTTCTTATGTTTTATTCTTTTATCTTATATCTCTAAGTGCTTAATATCTGCCAAGACTTGGCTGGGTGCTGGTGAAAGTGATGAACACAGTCTGTGCTCTTATTCTCTCTCTCCCCGTATTCTCTTCCTTTCTTTCTTCTTTTTTATTCTTTTATCTTATACCTTTAAGTGCTTAATATGTGCCATGACAATGCCAGGTTCTGGTGAAAGTGATGAACACAGCCTATGCCTACAAATAGCTTATGATATAGTTGAAAAAATGGACAAGTTGAAAAGCAGTTTTAAGTGTCTATAATCGTGAATTTATGAAAGCTCGTTATAAGAGGGATGTTCAGCTTAGTCTTGGGGAATCTGGTAAAGCTTCTCCCGGGTGAGTATCATCTAAGTAGATGTTTGAAGATTGGTTCAGCATTAGTTAGGTGAATAGGAATAGGGGTCATTTGGGGGGCATTGTAAACATCAAGAAGATGTCCACAAAGGAGAGAGAAAACATAGAATTGTTTTTTTAATTTATACTTTAAGTTCTGGGGTACATGTGCAGAACGTGCAGATTTGTTACATAGGTATACACGTGCCATGGTGGTTTGCTGCACCCATCAACCTGTCACCTATGTTAGGAATTTCTCCTAATGCTATCCCTCCCCTAGTCCCCCACCCCGCAACAGGCCCCACTGTGTGATGTTCCCCTCCCTGTGTGCAAGTGTTCTCATTGCTCAACTGCCACTTATGAGTGAGAACATGTGGTGTTTGGTTTTCTGTTCTTGAAAACACAGATTTTTTTTTAAACTTTATGTTCTGGGGTATATGTGCAGATCGGGCAGGTTTGTTACATAGATATGCACGTGCCATTACCATGGTGGTTTGCTGCATCCATTTCCCCCGTCATCTCTATTAGGTATTTCTCCTAATGTTATTCCTCCCCAATCCCCCCACCCCCTGCTATCGCCCCCAGCCCCCCTACCCCCTGACAAGCCCCAATATTTGATGTTCACCTCCCTGTGTCCATGTGTTCTCATTGTTCAACACCCACTTATGAGTGAGAGCATGCAGTGTTTGGTTTTTTGTTCTTGTGTCAGTTAGCTGAAAATGATGGTTTCCAGCTTTATCCATGTCCCTGCAAAGGACATAAACTCATTCTTTTTTATGTCTGCATAGTATTCCATGGTGTATATGTGCCACATTTTCTTTATCCAGTCTATCATTGATGGGCCTTTAGGTTGGTTCCAAGTCTTTGACATTGTAAAAAGTGCTACAATAAACATACATGTTCATGTGTCTTTATAATAGAATGGAAAACAGAATTTTTAAGATCACTTTTTCCTGCTACCTCATTCCTACCTGATTATGGAAAGCCCTGCAATGTGTGTTTGTGCAGTGTGTGTGCACGTGCACATGTGTGTGCCTGTGTGTTTCTGTCTGTCCAGAGGAATTATATTTGTCTAGAGAAGGATAAGATGGTCTGAACAGCTTGCTTAGAAATTTCTGGAGAGAAGAAAGGAGCATCTAAAATATAAAAAATAAAATAAAAACTGCTATTTACTGGGTATTTTATGATGTGACAGTCACTGCTAAATGATTATTGTAATCAGTTTTTAATTGATGGATATATTATTAGCAATACTATTATGCTTATAAATAAATAAGTTAAATGCTTTAAGGATTTAAGCAAGTTTTCCCAAGAGTCAATAGATTTAAGAGTTTGAGGCAGTTTCTGAAACCAGCAGTTTGATTTGATAATCCACTCTCTTAATAGTATCTTATACTACCTCATGAAAATGTCAAAAACTGAAGATCTAAAAGAACAAAAACAAAAACATAAACAAAATATACTTGGGCAGTGTGTTAACAGTAGTAACACTAATACTTCTTCAGTACCCGCTTTGTATAAGACACCATGCAGGGAACTTTGGCAAATATAAGAAACATAATTATTTCTTACATAATTATCTAATTATTCTATTTCTCCTGTAGTTTATCTCTTTAATATTTACAATTTAGATAAGGAAACAAGAAATGGGTACAAATTCATAATGCTGAGTAGCAATAATCAAATAACATTTGTATTGCATTTTGCAATTTCTGAAATCATCTTCACTTACATATATCATTTGTCTTACAAAAATATGTGAGTCAGCTTGTTATGGAAAAGGGCTATGTAAGAACCTCAAATATTAGTGGCTTGTAACTACTACTAACCTTTTTTCATCTAGTTTTTGGCCTGTAGTTTTGCTTTGATT